CTAAACTCTCTCCCACTCCCTGTGTGAAGCGCCTAACCGTTGTTAGTCACCGTCTCCCCGCCTTCCCGCGGACCCAGGGCCCCTCTCCTGCTGTGGCTCTCCAATGCCCGGAGATCCTGTTCCTTTATTCACGTGTCTGTTTTATCCACCTGCTACTTCAAGGGATAACTCTATTTACTACCGTTTTGCAAGTGCCTCAGCCATCCTCAACGACACCATCGATTCTCCATCATTCTTTTCTCCTTCTCGGGGTTTCTATTTTTCTCTGAGCTGCTCTTTGTCTCTTGTTCAACTGAACCCCTCGCCCAAAAATTTACTGGAGGAGTGAATAAATGCCCGCCTAAAGGAAGAGACTGTTTTCCAGCGGGGTGGAATTTGGGACGTAACAATACCGGGAGGTCACACGGCTGACTCAAGTCACCTCCCCCTACAAGAGGTGGGGGAAAGGCTGACTACAAAGGGGAGGCCCGCGGGACAGAAGGACCGGCCTGAGGAGGGCGCGAATGTAGAGTCTGGGAGGGAGGGGGTCTCAGGAGGGGACCGTGCGGCCCAGAATCCCAGGACCAGGGAGAGGACGCGGCCTGACGGGAGCGGAGCGGCCGGCGGCTCGGCCCAGGGTCGAGAGGGCGATGCTGGGGGCGCGCTTCCACTTCGCGGAAGAGGAAGCTACACGGGCGGGGGCGGAGGGACGGAGTAGAGGGTCCTGAGCAGGAAAATATCAGCAACGGCGGTGTCTCAGTGACCGAAAGCAGAAAAGCCAATGGCAGAGACCGGCCTCAGAGCGGTTCCAGACCCAAAGGAAAAGATTCACGACCTGGAGCGGCGACCCCCGGACTTACGTGGCTGGGGGACGAGGTGCTGGGGCTGTAGGTCCGCAGTGACTGCCACACCCTAAAGACGGAGGGAGAGGGACAGCGCAGCACGATTTACATTAGAAAAGGGGAACTTACACTCTGCTGCGACCTTCCCTCAGCGCCTTCCACCACCGGGTCCGTAAACATCTTCACATCCGCCAAACGAGAGGCGGGACTTCCGGCGTCGGGCCGGTTAGCGCTACTGGCAGGGGCGGGGCGAAAGCGCAGCCAGGTTTGCACGGGGACCGGCGCGAGAAGGGGAAGGGGACTTGGGCGGGGGGAAGTGGATGATGTGTCAGTGGCCTTCAGGTGAGGTACGGCCGTGGGAAATAAGTACAGGGTCACAGCATGTTTGTACTATGCTGTAAATAATGATTGTACGCATGCGTCGGTTATAGAAGTTTTAGAACAAAGGAAATAGAAGTACGCATGTGCTAAGGATATTAGCCTCAGGATGAAAGGAGCTGACACTGCGCATGTGCTGGCAGAAAATACAGAAAAGCAGGATAGCTGCACCTTAGACTGCGCGCACCACCTTGTGGCCATAGAATAAAGTGCTGTAAACTCCATGTGCACTCGGTGAATTCTGTTTTGTGGTATGGCAGGTCCTTGTGAATTTTTTCAGTTGGGCCGCTCACCTCCGCGTATCCCACTTCAGGCTCCCTCCGCTGACGCTTGGCACTGTGAACATGATGAGCCGAGTGCCCCTCTGAACCAGCTTCCCCGGACAGGAATCCTCAGATGAAATCTATGTGGCCCCCTACCTCTTTATAGTCCCTGGTGGCAGCCTATTTGCTGACGTGTGCTCAGCCTGAGGATTGGGACACAGTGGCACTCTGGCCAGATTATGTCTGGAGGGCGCTGGAGTTGTAAGAAAATAATGTCCCACTAGCCCACCGAGAGGTAGCCAGGAAGGTGGCCTGGATGTTTTTGTCGCTTTTGCGCCATGCTAGCCAAGACGTGAGAGAATTGCCCATGCAAGTAGAGCAGTTACAGCGCAAGGAAGAGGAACTCGAGCGGAGACTCAGCCCAGCAGAAAGGTGACCACATGGCCCTAGCTCCGCCGCCTCTGAGAGCTACTGTGTCTGTGCGGCTCCAGTCCCACCATCTGTGAGAGCGGTAAGCCAGGCCCTTCCCCTCGTTCCACTGTGTCTTCAACCCATGGTGAGGCAGTGGGTGGAACTGGAGGAGCCCATGGCAAAGGGGGCACCTCCTTCTCCGGGACTGCAGTGACCGATGGGAAAAACAAACTACATGTCTTCTACCTCAGTGGAATTGCGAGACCTGGCAAAGCAATGCAAGCAGCTTATGGGTTACTCACTCCCTGCATGGCTACTGCCCATTTAGGACTACGGCAGCACTAATACCGCTGTATCTAGACCGCCCCATACATGAAGTAACTGAGGCTCTAGCTCGTCTGGGGGATGTAGGGGTGCGCTGAAAGGGGGTGTGCACTGCCAAGACTCAAGGTGAGTCCAAGACCTCCTACCATGCAGTGACTTAGAAAGGGAAGTTCACACAGAGGAGGAAAATGGGGAATGCTCCAACTTTGGTAGGGCCCCAAAACCTAGCACGCCGGCAGATATGATGTGATTTACTGGCGGCTGGCTTCAACCATGTAAAATTACATGCCCAGGCTTTGGAGGTGCTAATAGCCTTATGGAAAAAAATTACAGCCTGAGCAACAATATACACCGTTGCCAACTGCCCATCAGGACTGAGAGTTAGCCTAGCTAATTTCCTACCAGACTAGGAGGAAGGCCAGAGTGTTTGGGACATGAGGCACCCCAACGACCTGAGGCCATATGTTAAACTGTCTTTCCACTGGTAACCCATAAATCAACAGCGAGTACTGGCACAAGGAGACACAGGAGCTGAAATTACATTAGTACATGGAAATCCAGAGCATTTTCGGGGACTGTGGATTCATATAGAAGGATATGGAAACAACCAAATGAGCCTTAAACCAGTGATTCTGAATTTGGGCATTGGTCGTCTGCCCGCTGCTGCATATGAAGTGCATATATCCCCATTAGCTGAATATATTCTGGGAAGAGGCATTTTGCAAGGATTACAAATACAGACAACTCAAGGGGAATTTTGCCTGAGAGTTCGCGTGGTGAAAACAGTTATCCAGGGGCATCCTCATCACACACCTATGATTTTGCCACAGGTCACACGAGTGGTGAATGTCCGGCAATGTCGATTGATCAGAGGCAATGAGGAAATAGGACAGAGTATTCTGAAGCTTGAGGAAGCCGGTTTTATTTGGGCGACCCATAGCCCGTGTAATTCTCCACTGTGGCTAAGCCTGAAGGCTCCTGGAGGATGACAGTGGACTATCGGAAACTGCATAAACTCACTACACGCGTGCACGCAGCTGTGCCAAATATAACAGATTTGCTGGACCGGATGTCCCATGAATTGGGTACTTGTCACTATGTGGTTGACTTGGCTAATGCATTCTTCTCTATAGATATAGCCCCTGAGAGCCAACAAC